AAGAATTCTCTTGCATATTTGGATTTAGCTTGGTATTCAGACAAGGCAGCAATTAACAGACACATAGAGGTAAACAGCATCTACATACTATTCAAAAGAGACAAAAGACTAGAAGATCGCCTTACCAACAATCATCACCCAGATAAGCCAAGGTCACCACCAGGCACACAATCAAGCAGTAAACAGATGCTAATCAAAGAACTACCAGAGGAGTAAAACAAAACCCCCACCCCACCAGCACTGGCAAGGCAGGCCACGGCACATAAATAGGGAGCAAACCCCATCCCATTTTAGCACTGAAGAAGTTCCCTAGCCAGGTAATGAAACGTTTGCAAGAAAAGAACCAAGCTCAGAGAACCCCAAGGACTCCACAGTTACTATCTCCTTCCATATTGGAAACCCAGCTGAAATATTTAATGGGTTTAGTAATCAAATCCAGACTTAGGGCCAACAGCACCCATATCCAACTACCATAACGACACGCGTGCAATAACCTTGTCATGCAAATGCAGCTGTGATGTATTTCCATCGGGGCAAGTGGCACCAGTCCCTAAGTTGTGACATTTGTATGATGACCTCATCACACAAATGCCATGTGCTCCCCTCTTTCCCTCTCCTGCAGAACCCCACTCTTGTTGTACAGGGTAAAAACCTAGATGTCATGAAGAGATCTGCTCAGAATTTCCCTAAGATATCATCAAGCCCTTCAAGGTCATCCAGACCAGGATACCGAAACCAAGAATACTAATGCTACTTTTATTGTAAGCTTACAATAACCAAATCTTGCAAGTCTGAAAGCGCTTCCCCCCTCCCCTTCCTTTACATTCCAGAGAACTAGGGAGGGACAATTCTGAGGTGCTTTCTCTACCCCTATCCTTCCTCTGGACTCAGATCTCTCTTATCAGTAAGAGAGTATCTCTCTTCTGCCTCCTAAGGTTATTCTCATAGCCCATTACAGATACGCAAGTGAATATATTGCAAAAAAAGCATTATGGGATGTTCTCTGCTTCTGGCAAAGCTGGCCTTGCAAGCTGCAAGAAAAATCATTTTCTCTTTTCTTTTTAGGTGCCTCTGCTGGTCTTTTTGGTACCAACGATAATGAAGCAGGCAATGAATGGATGCTGCCTGACCACTCTCTGGCTAAGAGTTTGTCCGAATTCGTACAAGCCTGGCAGGTATTTGGCAGAGGAAGTACTGAATACTAGTAGCCTAACAGCAAAGATGCAGTAACAGTTGCCACAGTGGTAGCCCCACACTGTGGGATACTCTCCCCTGGAGATTCACACAGCCCTTACTCTGCTTGCCTTTAGAAAACAAGTACATTGTAATGGTATGTGGGAATGGCCTTGGGAGAGAGAAGGAAGAGATGCTGCCTAGGGAACAATCAGATAAGAGAGGGCATAGCCTGCAGCTGCCTAACAAGCAAAGAAAGAAACTCAGAAAGGAGCGTCCCTACTTCTCAGGCAGTAAAAGAGGCAGGGGGAGATTTGTACTCTCAGACTCTCAGATTCTGTTAGTGTAGCCTTACAATAACGTAGAATTAGCTCATCTGGTCATGTTTCCTGTCTAGTCTACCTGGGAAGGCTGACATAAATGGATACTGTTCTAGCAAGCCTTCAGTCTTGGTTGACTATGGGTTACCACCAAAGAGGCTTTAGTTAACATAATTATTTGTTTTGTTTTTCTCGGTTATGCATCCTGTTATTTTGGTTTTACCTTCGTTAGTCGCCCAAAGTTCTTGCCGTTAGAAGATTGTTAATACTGTCAAGAAATAAAGTAAAGAAACAGTTGAAAGTAGTGACAAAGCAAAAATGAAATATTTGTTCATCCATAACTGCTGATGGTGGAACTCTTAAATTATGTATCAATGCCTAGTCTCTTTAGAGATGGAATATTTGCTGAATGTACCTCTGTTCACTCTGGGTTAATAGCCCTTGTTCTTAAAGATAGACATAAGATATTGAATCCAAGCTTGGAAGAATGAAGATCTGGACTGTTTATATTGACCATGGTGTGTTTGATTTTCTCCTCCAAGGTGAATGACCACTGTGGTGAAGTCAAGAGACATGACAAACCATGCCTCAATACACAGAGCTCTGAAATCTGCAAAACCTTTTTCCAAGACTCCACCTCGTCCTTTAAGAATTGTTTCGGAGTTGTAAGAATATAATGTTAAACCCGCTTCTGCATTGCCACTATTTGCCCTCTGCAGTTCCTCAGAAATACTAAGAAAATAGCCTAGGATCATCTCGTCTATACTGCTGTTTCAGAAACCCCCAGAATAAGAAGTAAAAATCACTGCCTACCCCAAGGACCTTCGGCAGGTCCTACAAGAATAAAAATCCCCTCACCCCCACTCTACCCAAAAAGAAAGGAAGGAAATTAAAAATCCAAGCAACCTGCTGATTTGCAGATGGGGTAAAGAAAGGAGAAATCGACAAGCCTCTTGATCAGTTTCACCCCTTTGGGGTGGACGATTGAGAGGGAGATGCAAAGCAGTGGAGCCACCTTTCCCTTTACAGGATCCTCCAGGCCAATTGAAGCTCAGGGACTGGGCGGAGTAGGAGTCTAGCAAGAGTTAATGGGGAAATGGCTCACCCCAACCTTTGCAGCTCTCCGGAGTTTCCATCTGAAAAACAGTTTCCGAACACTTCTTCTTGAACCCTAACTGAACCAGAAGTAAATAGACTTAACTGGCCAAGAGAGACCACAGTGCAGAATCAAAGGATGTAGGGCTGATCCAAAAGGGGTGCAAATCATTTGTAAATGCAATTGATTACATGCCAGGTTCTCAATGTGCTTTAACCCTGAAAAATCTCAGCTTGACCTGTTTTGAATCATTAACCCACCCATGGAAGCCTTCAGTTGAGATTGCCAAAGGAATATATTTTCTAGGATTGTACTTTAAAAAAAAAAAGAGGAACTTCACTGAAAATTCAGTCTAGTCCTTAGCTAGGACTGATTCTTTACTCAACAACTCTGTGGGATGTTTTACCCGCTGAAAAGAAATACTCCTCCTTTTCAATCATTTTTGTTTGATTTTGATCTGTAACATGTTCAAATGGCCGCTTTTTACGTGAGCCAGGGTAAAAGAGAATGCTGTATTTACCCAATAAAGGTCTGAATGTTTCTCTTTTCCTTTTCTTAAAAGGTGAATCCTGAACCGTTCTACCACTGGTGCAAAACTGACATGTGTGAACTGCATAGCGTAAATGCAGCCTGTAACTTAGCTGCAGCCTTTGGGCACCTGTGCCACCGAAATTTTGTCCCTGTAGAGATGCCTCTTCAGTGTGGTAAGATGTCCCACCTCCCCAACCCACCTCCAAATAAACTGGGGGTTTTAAAACTGTTTTTTAGAAACTCTCATACCTTCCCATCCAAAGATTTGTCACCTCTCTCCATCCTTTGGTGCATGGATAAAAGCATGCATTGGGCCTCTCCCCACATTTTCTCATGTTTCTGCTGATCTTCCCACTGTAGAGGGGCATCTGGGGAAGGGGTCAAAAAAGTCAAAATGGCAGCCGTTACGCCACGAGAACTAAACCCTGGCTCTTTTGTACGCGCATCGTCACACATTTAAAAAAAGGCAGAGCTTCAAATGCACGGTTGCATCTACCACCTTGAATCCTGCTCCAGACATCTATGTCATTGCATGAACACTGATCTAAGGCACCTTCCTTCCTTCTTCTCATCAACCCATCAATCCCACTGACATCCCCAGTCCTTTAGCAATTCATTTGACAATCACAGTATTTTTAATGCTGTTAATATTTGTAAAAAAAATGTATCCCCAGGCCCCACTGGGATTTCTTCAAGTCCCAGCAGAGAGGCACATGCCCATTTTTGAAATTTCTGCCTTAATATAGAAATGATAACATTCCCAAAGTTGGGGAGAGCCACCTCTAGTCTTAGGTGACATTACTAGAAGCTGCAGCCCTGGTCAAAAAAGTTAAGATGGGGGTTTGGGCAGTGTGATCAAAGCTCCACCGTTTGTACGTATGACACACATCCAAAAAGGGCAGAGTGACTTCACTCCTGCTGCTGCAATCACCATCTTGACTTTTTTGACCCATTTCCCTGCAGACACAGCCAATTACCAGAAAGGTGGTAACATCTCAGAAAGGAGCAGAGCCATGGAGGGGGGCTCATTTTTAGATATTTTTCTTGAAGTAGCAGGCCTCTGGGAGGCAAACCACTCTTATTTCAATCTTTAACACTTTTCAATTCAAAATGGAAAGTATCGTTTATCGCGGGGATCACAGGTTATGGTTTTGTATGGTTTGCAATACCCTACTGTAAGCTGCCTAGAGTCACATAAATGTAAGATGTGTGGCTATATAAATCAAATGAATAAATAATGACAATTTTATCTCATTTTAGAGATGGCAAAGTGAGGCTGAGAAGCAGCTGGTTGCTTAAGGCTGCGCCTGCAATAGAGGGAGGGACCTTCTGCTTAAATCTCCCACTGACCCAAGCTCAACTCAAACCACAAGCTTGATCTAACCAGCTTCGTCCTATATTGACTTAGTGAAAAGTTTTGAGGAGCCGTTAAGATTAGCCTTGACCGTTGCAACAGCTGCCGTCTTGGAAGAAGTCCTTTTTCCCACCCCAGACAGCTTCTCCTTGTGTTTGCCACATTAAAGAACATCCAACTTGAAAAAGCATCTGGCAAAGTAACATTTCCAGTGAAAGGGTTGCAGAACGTTGAATTAGATCTTGTTGTCAACAGTTTAGAGTAATTTTCTGGAAGATTTGTTCTGGAATATATTTTTTTTCCTGCTGCTCCTAGTGACTAACAAAGATTTCAACTATATTCATCAACTTCTGAGTTAATTCATGTTGGATTGGAAAGGGCATCGTCATTTGAAACCATCTTTTCCCTCCATGTTCCGCATGATGGCTTGTCTTCAGAACCTCCCCATATTCAGACGATGCGAAAATCCATTCTCTGAGAACTTTTAAACCCGCAGCTTGGAACATACACCGGCGGGGATACCTTGGAAAAATCTCTGAGGAACGGCTGGCCTGCTGTAGGACTTTAGAATCGTAAATGAAATAGTTAAATAAAAAGCAGTGAGGGCCACGTGGTAGCATATTGTTAGAGCGCATATTTACTAGAGCATATTAACAAAGTGCTTGTGGTTCAGTCTCAAGAGGATGTGGGTTGTACAGCAGGTGTCTGACTACAGATAAAAGTTGCTGTACTTTGAAAGGGGGGAGAGGAATGGTTTTGAGATATTCAGAAGCCACCGAGTGACCTTGTCATGAAGCCGCCTACGACCCAAGTATAACCAAAAGCTAATTAGCATAGTAAAACGCACACCTTTCAGGTAGAAATTTTAGAAAACATAGAGCAGGCTAAGCTTATTATGGGATGTTAGTAAGTAACATGGAATCAAGTGCGTCTGCGCAATAACGTAACTGATCATGTTTTTTAACATGCCTACTTCCCTACTTCTGACAAGTGTAACAGTTGATGTAAGACTTTGCTCAAGGTTCCTCTCCTTAGAGAGACGGGACCCTTTTTGCGGAAGCCCCTCCGTAAAAGGAATAAAAGGATTCCCCAACTCGGTGTGTCAATTGGACTTTGCGTGCCGGGTAGACGAACCTGCCCCTCTTTTGTGGCCAACAGCAGAATTCAAATGTGAAATAGTTGCAGTTGTTTAACTGGGAATACCCCTGTGCGTGCGGAGGGAAGGTGGGGAGCGTTCAAGATCCCTGTAATGGGCAGAAGGAATAACCTTGAGGAATGGGAGGAAGAGCCCCCACCGAGAAGACGGTCTGATAAAGGAAATCTGAGGGCAGGGCAGGAGTGTAATTTGAGAAAGCGTCTCAGACAAGTCCCTCTCTGGTTCATACAAAGATAAAGGGAGGGAGGAGGGAGGCACAGTCAGACTTGCAAGATTGTTGTCAGCATTCCAAGGTAGACCAGACTAGGAAACCAAAGACACACAAGCTAATACTACTTTTATTATAAGGTTACAGTAACAGAATCTTGCAAGTCTGAATGTGCTTCCCCCTGCCTTCCTTTATCTTCATGAGAACTAGGGAGGGTCAAGTCTGAGACGCTTTCTCAAATTACACTTCTGCCCCAAACTCAGATTTCCTTTATCAAACCGTGGTCTCGGTTGCGGCTCTTCCTCCTGTTCTCAAAGTAATTCCTTCCGCCCGTTATAATTCCCGTGGTGATAACCCATCCCCACCCCAGTCATGAATGGAGCAACAGGGCCTTTAAATTACATGACTGCATAATTGACTTGGGAAAAAAACAGGTGAGGACTTTAGTCACATCTCTGAAGTGAGGGAGATTAAACAGCCACGCGCTGTCCCACAGGGAGGGTATATGGAGAGTGTAGGAAACCTGCACTTCAGCTAGCCTGCCAGGAAAAGGAACAGACATCAGTCCAGCTGGGGATTACGTGAGCATGTGCGTAGTTTCATTAGTGCCTGGATGGGAGACCACCAAGAAGGCCCACCTCTGTAGGCTGAACCAGAAAGTGTGTTTGTGTGTGTGATGTATATGCATGTGTGTATGCATGTATAAATAAAAGGCAGGATAAAATTTTAATGCTACTAATTATGTCAGAGGAAGAGAGAGAGAGAGAGATTATATATATATATACATATATA